AAGCAAGGAGAGAGCGAGTGGTCAGCCTGGGCCTGACCCTGCCTGTACCCTGCACATTGAGCCTTGCCTGTACCTTGTGCCCGGTCTGCACCCTGTGCCCTACCTGCACCCTGCACCCTGTGCCCCTGCCTGTACCCTTTGCCCTGTCTGCACCCTACACCCTGTGCCCCTTACTGCATCCTTGGTTCTCTCTGTACCCTGTGCCCTCCCTGCACCTTGAGCAATGTCTGCACCTTGTACTCTGTGCCCTGTCTGCACCTTTAGTGGTCTCTGCACCCTGCACCCTGCTTGTACCCTGTGCCCCGTCTGTATCCTGGACCCTGTGCCCCTGACTGCACCTTTAGTGCTCTCTGCACCCTGTGCCCCTGGCTGCATCCTTGGTTCTCTCTGTACCCTGTGCCCTCCCTGCACCTTGAGCTCTGTCTGCACCCTGTGCCCTGAGTGCACCCTGCCTGCACCTTGTCTGCACCCTGTGCCCTGCACTTGCACCCTGCCCACACCCTGCACCCTGCCTGTACTCTGCCTGCACCCCGCTCACATGCTGCTCCTGCAGTCTGCACCCTCTCCATGCCCTCCCCCTGCCCACACCCTGCCCATGCCCTACTTGCAGCCCGCCCACACCCTGCCTGCACCCTTGTCCTCCCTCCACTGCTGCCCACACTGTGCCCTCACCCAGCCCAGGAACCTGGGGGGGATCCCTGCCTGCCCCCTGCCAGGCAGAGCACCGTGGCAGAAGGAGGGGAACCTGGCTCCCTTGCTGCCAACCTGCTCAGCTCCCCTAACAAAGCATCCCAAAGGAACCTCTGGGCCCTAAGAAACTGCACAGCACCTCCCCACTGCAGCCCTGTGACATCCTTACTGCAGCCCCAATGCAGCCCTGGTGCATCCTCACTCAATCCTCACTGCAGCCCCATTGAATCCCCACAGCATCCTCAGTTTGTTCCCATTGCATCCTCACTGAGGCTCTGTTGCTTCCTCACTGCATCCCCAGTTCATCCTGACCACATCCTCACTGCATCGCCTTTGCAGCCCACTGCAGCCTCACTGTGTTTCCACACTGTCCCCACTGGATCTTCATGAAATCCCCGCTGCATCCTCAGTTCATTCTCATCCCAGCCCCACTCAATTTCCTCTCCATCCTCAGTGCATGCTCACTGCATTTTCACTGAATCTCCAGTGCATTTTCACTGCATCCCCATTGCTTCCCCACCACATCTCAGTTCTCTTCCCACTGTACCCTCAGTTCATCCCCACCGTGTCCCAGCTGAGTTCCAGTTCCATCCTCACTACATCCTCAGTCCCTTCCCACTGCAGCCTTGTTGAATCCCCACTGCATCCTCACTGCATCCTTCTCTTCCTACCCCGCTGCATTCCTGCTGCATCTCCAGTTCATCCCCACCGCACCTTCACTGAATCCCCATCACATTCCTACCCCATCCTCACTGCATCCCAGTCTCACCCCAGTCCCATCCCAGTCTCATCCCAGTCCCATCCCAGTCCCATCCCAGTCCCATCCCAGTCCCATCCCAGCTGCCTTTCCAGCAGCCCCGCCACACTCACGTGGCCGAGCCAGCAGCGCTCCCTCCCCGCCGCTAACCCCGGCCGAGCCTCGCCGGTATCCGGGGCCATCCCTCGCTCCCGGGGCACGGCCCGGGCACGGCGCAGCCACCACCCGGGCTCCAATGCCACGCGGCCTCGGCACCGTGGGCGCTTTTTAAATTTACCTTTTCCTGCCAGGAGACTGTGACACAGGCTTTTAAAAATAGCATGTGCTGAGGCGAGGCGCTCGGGGTGGTGTTGCTAAGGGAGAGATTCAATCCAAATCTAGGGCTGCGCCTTCCCATCCTACTTCCCATCCTTCCCAACTACTACGGCGCGCACCCAAAATTAGGGCAAGGCAGGGGCTGCCTGCCTGTGTGTTTCCATCTCCTGGGAGGAAAAACCCCTTCTCCACCCTGAACCAGTGCGGGGAAGGTTGCTCCATCCCAAAATCTGCACGAGGAAGGTTGCTCCATCCCAAAATCCGCGCAGGGAAGGATGCTCCATCCCAAATCAGCTTGGGGAAGGATGCTCCATCCCAAATCAGTTTGGGGAAGGTTGCTCCATCCCAAATCAGCTTGGGGAAGGATGCTCCATCCCAAATGAACACAGCAAAGGACACTCAGAGCAGCACCCTTATAGAAATTACCCATTTTGGGGGGAAAGAAGCGGGATTTGGGATGTACCTAGTCGCCGTTGCGGAGGTCGCCGCCGCGGGTGCTGTTGGCGCACTCGGCGTCCTTGGTTTTCCGATCAATCTCACCCCCTTTGATCTTCTTGCGGGTCATATGGCCACGGAAACTAGCCTGGATCTTGGCAGCTGCCGCGTTGGCATCAGGATCGTCCAAAGGGATGTCCAGGATGTCCTCGTCCAGCTTTGTGCAGGCTCCCTCCTGACGGTGGCAATGGCAGGGTTACAGCTGCTGGGACCTCACACAGCGCAGCCCCCTCCCCAAATGAATCCGTTCAAGAAGGTCTTAAATGAGCCCCTGTTCTAAAAATT